TAATGTAATCTATTAACTATGCATAAAAACCTGTCTGTTTACTTAATTAACAGATATGGATGTCATGCCATAGCATATTTTTAATACGACTGAGTTTATATTTAATGTGAATTTAACATTGAAAGTTAATGTGAATAAAAACATTGCAAGTTAGGCTACTAATCATAATACTTTCATTGTACAGAAAGAGAGCAAAGAACATTTAGATGATCAAAGAACATTTTCACTGAGAGTCTAGTTCAAGCACTCTCAAAAACTCCCATTGAAAGCACTGAAGCTGTTTACACTATGAAATTAATATCTTACAGATTCGTACACACATTTGCACTTTGTTGTTTCTGACGAGAGAATTCGCCAGAAAGAGGTATTCAGTCAGCGAGCGAGTGAAGAAAACACTGGCATTTTAGCGATGACTCATCTGAACATTGGTCATTGCACTCATAAGCTCAGCAGCATCGTGTGTGATTGGTTATAATGTATAAACGCGTCTGTCTCTGGCTCAGCGCCAGCAGCGAGCGCAGATTTGAATGTAGCAGCTGATGATGACATGACGCACTGAACGTTCTAATCACGCCGGTGTGATTGTATTACATATAGAAAATATGACTTGGCTATTTTTTGTCTTTTGGAAGCTGCATTCAAAATCCACTTGGCTCAAAATCACTGTGAATGGGCATGACGCCTCTGCCAGAGACGTGCTGGAAGAGATGTTCAAGTCCATTGCCCCCGCAATTAAGTAACAAATAAGTAAAATGATAGCGTATACTGCATTAATGCCTTAAATATTCTGAATTTAATTCCATTTTATTTAATTTTCCCTGAAACCATAACATTACAAAGCCATGTGATTGTGAACTGTGGACCTAAACATAATCAGTTATTGACTCGTTGAGTAGACTGACAACAGTGCAAGCAGCCTGTTCAACAGCAGACCATCTGTGAGGTCCCTTACCAAAAAGTAGTATACTTCAAGTTTATTTTAGTAAGTATGCTTAAGTAAAGTTCAAGTATTTTTTTAAGTATACTTTATGTAGTAAGTATACAAATATCAGTGTACTAGTAGTATACTTGTACGTGTACTATTTCAATACTCCTTGGGACTAAATTGGCCCACTTTCTAGTATATAAAAGTATACTTT